AAATGAGGAAGAAAAGGATTGTCTGTGGTCAGGAATTAATTCAAATATTACTGTCAGAATAGGGACATTATTTCTAATAGTTTATAATTTAAAACAAAAATGCATTGCTTATAAAGAAGAAAGGGATTGTCTGTGGTCAGGAATTAATGCAAGCGTTATTGATAGAATATATGTAAAAATTATATTCTATTCCACAATAAGTAAAAATACATTCATGTGCACCTTATCAATACAGAAAAATACTCGTTGACCACACCAATATACTCTACCACGAAAGTAATAAACAAAAACTTCAAATTCTCAAGGCCCTCTATATCAAAATCAATCAACCAGTACTCAACAAAATTTATGATGAATAGAGCAATAACATTAAAGTGCCTATAACATTCATATACTAATGTCATTTTATGTTTCTACTAATTGCTAGTCAGCTCACTTATACCGAAACGCTTGTTTTATAAAAAAATACAATTTTATATATATATATATATATATATATATATATATATATATATATATATATATATATATATATATATATCAGCATTTACTATAGGAATGCATTGCAAATGAAGAAGAAATGTATTAACAGTGGTCAGGAATTAATGTAAGCATTACTGATGGAATAGAGGTATTATATGTAAAAATGCTAAACATTTACTAAAGAAATTCATTGCCATTGAGGAAGATAAAGATTCGGTATCTCCAATCATTCGCTAAAAAACAGCATGTCGTGATAAAAAAAAGGCCCCAAACTTGATGAAAACAATTTCTTATTGTCTAAAAATGTTTATGTTATTATTAAGAGCAAAGATCAAATTATTTTTCGTTATCTTTTATATTTTTTTAATCCTTCGTAGCACGTCCGAAATTTTAGCTAAAATCTTTTTTATTTATTTATTTATTTTTTTGTTTCAGCGATATTGCAATAAAAAATAGTCGGGAAATAACCGCAAGTAGTAATATATCAGAATAGGGCTACATTTCTAATGGAAACAAATTTTAAAATATTTTATCAGAGAAGTTAATGCCAATGATTTCACAATAGACACGTGCAGGCGGTAAGAAAAAAACTTCTGTAAAAATATCACACAGTACGATAATAAAATAACGTGATAGATAATAAAAAACGAGAAATGATTTTTCAGTTTGTTTATCCAAGGGAGATAACTTTAGCGAAAGTCAATTTGATTATCTTTCTTTAAACGTTAATCGTGGATAATTTATTACTTGAGTTTAGTCACAAGGACACAACAGTGGGGCACCCAGTGAAGATCGATCACACTATTCAATAATAATGACAAAAAAGGAGAGGAGGAAGCCTTCTTGGTGCGTTACTTGACTGGATGAACAATTTTCTTCCTTGATTAAGCATAAAAATTATACAAAGAAAGAGAGAATTATATATATATATATAATTCTATAGAATATATTCTATAGAATTAAATTTTTATATATATATATATGAGAATTATATATTAGAATATATATATTCTTATGTATATATATATTCTTATAAAATAAAGAATTATATATATATATATATATATATATATATATATATATATAGTGGTACTCACTTGGAAAAACCTTGGGTATTTCGGCTTGTAGTTGAACAAACCAATACCCAACGAAAAATGAGGAATAAAAAAAGAAAGAACTAAGAACATGAAATTGAGGCGAAAACAATCATTCAGAATTCACGCTCAGAGCCCAAAAGAAAAAAAACATAAAACGAGTAAAAGTAACTACGTAAAGTGCTAAATACATACATATACGTATATATATATATATATATATATATATATATATATATATATATATATATATATATAAAGGACTTAAAAACTTTCAACACGAGAATTTTCTGATAGGAACTTTGAATATTATTCGTAATTTTATTTTAAGAGATATAAATTTTATAAGTACATGTAATATATATATCTTTGTATTAATTATCTTTGCGTGTGTTTTTAAAAAGGCAAAAATTGGTGTATATTTGGATTAAAGACGTTATCCTAAGATACCCACCTGTAAACACATAACCCCACATCATTATTATTTTTTTTTTTTTTGCAATAGTGAACTCTTTATTTTTGTATCACTACACACGAAAAATAAACCTAAAAAACAATAATAACCAAGGATTTTCAAACCTGTGTAGTAAAATTACGAATATAAAATTAAACACAACTTATCCAAAAATACATTAGCCTCTTTATCACTGTAAAGATACAAAAGGCTTCACCCTTCGTTTGAGGTCACATAGGTCATGTAACTGCTGCTTAGTGATGTCACTTCATACAGTGACGAAAGTGGTCAGACTTTCAGTTTTGTTTACAGGAGCTAAATGAACCAGTCAATTGTTTGGCTCGGATTGAGAGTCCCCAACTGAGGCTAAATTTGCCTCCCCGCCAACAACATATAACAACATGGCGCCGTTTCCCTTTGGGAACATATCTTTCACAGATATGGAAAGAAACTCCGGCTCGCAGGCCACAATTTGGGAAAACCAAAGACTCGCCGTTCGCTCTTTGTGGAATATGTCCTCGCCTGGGACATAGTAAATGAATCCGCCGCTTGAATCTAAAGTCCTAAATATGGCTTCTTCAGAAACACAAGAAGAATCTCCATATTATATGTAAGAACCTATCTTATCGTTCTTCTTCCACTCTGCTTGCTGTATAGATATATTTTTATAATATATCAGCATGGGACACGTGTATACAAGGCGCGTTCGGCGTAGGATAGGTGTATTCAACAAAAAATCAAAATTTGTTTTTTCACTGTAAATTATTCATTATATCATATCCAAGTATTAGTGCCGATTACACAATATTTCAAGCTCAATTTAGGTTTAACTAGGCAATGTGAAGAGGTAACATAAATCGTAGATTTGTCTGCGGAATATCATTACATTATTGTTACATAATTATAGTGAAATCATTAAGGTTTTATGTCAAAAGCATTTTATTTTTGGTCATATATTGATTTAAAATATTCCTTTTTACAGGCTTTATTTTTAAAATGGAAGATCATTCTAAATTTCAAAATTTCACTATTGCCCATCCAAATGACTGGAAGAAAGCGATCTAAAAACAACAATGGAAAAGAGAGGTAACAAAGCGTAAACAAAATAGCTTCGGTTTGTTCAACATAGGAAACTTAGCATTTCAGCCAAAGTATTCTAAAATGCTGCCAATAACAAAGGAGAAAATGAAAAATCCTCACAACAAATCGAATATAACATCAAGATTTATATTATTTTTATTTATTTATGTAATTAAATACATAATTGTCAACAATGTTTCTGTAAATCTTGATATTTCCTGTAATAAATTCTTAATAAATATTATTATTTTATTTAAGTGTAAGGTAGTCCTACATTTACAATTTCTTACGGCTAACCATGAAAAGAAATGTTGATCAAAACTACCTAAAACCTTTAAGTGCATATTGCCACAAAACGATCAAATGTTGAATACGCACCTCCTCCGCCGAACGCGTCATATAATTTTGTGTATGACGTAGCATTATAAAAGTGTCTCTGAGAACAAAGCATGTTTGTCATTCCTTTCCTTTTCAGCCATTCTGTTCTGTCCGTGAAATATCGGTGTTATTATAGCACGGATATAATAATGCCCATAATGGGGGAATTACAAATGGGAGAATAAACCTTTCTTCCATAGCTATACCCCATTAACTGTTTCTAATGGAACCCTTGCCGAACCTTAGTGTTACGAGGAACACCGGTTTTCTTCGTATTATGCTGAGGAGAAGAGATGGACATCTTGACCCATCAATAGTCAGCAGCGAAGAGAATGAGTTCAGTGTTTTTGGCGCGAAGTTCGCTTTCAGTCAGAAAAAGTTTCTGGTACATTCTGGGATAACTTTTTATTATTTTTGGTTTTGATTAATTTATTTTAAACCAAGATTTAATGTTATTTGTTTTATTTCATTTTTTTTATGATATTCTTTATTATTTTGTATTTTTATTTATTATTAATAATCTTCCTAGAATCTAGCGAGACAAACATACTAAACATTACACCACGACAAAGTGCCCAAAATGATTTTCTATGCGTAGCTCAGATGTGGCACAGGGTCGAAAGTGTGGAGGGAAGGTTACTGAATAGAATAATCAAACGAAGGTTGGTAATGAACGATAATACTTAGAACACGAACAACGCATATAGGATTCGCCAGCGGCGCGCAGAAGTAGTTAACTGCGAGAAGTGAGTCAAGTAAATTCCACAATGCATCTCCAACTGCAGGATATCTACCAACCACCCCACGTGATCAGATGTGGCACAAGGCCGAATTTAATGTGGGGTATCCGAGCCGGTAGGCTCGGCCAAAAATTCCCCGTATAAAACGGGGTCGGGTAGCTGTTTCTCCGAGACGAGACTCTGCTCTTCGGCATAGCCTCGTCTGGTGATCCTATCTGCCCGGAGCAGAAGGTTTGACCAGCACAGCTGGAGACGAATCTCCAACTGCAGACCAACATACAGTATTTACTATTGTATCTATGTAAATGAGGACATACCCATTATCGTCCGTAGGTTTGCTACAACAGGTTCCCAGTGAGGATCGAACTCATTACTCAGTCGTAATTGATCTATCGTAAGCAGATTTATAATATGATATGCCTCTTGCTTCCAGTCATAGTAGAAACGTAAAGCCAATTTAATACAGAGGCATTTCAAAAAAGATCCAGAAAAGAATCGCTTTCATTAAGCATATTAGAGTACAACCAGATTTAGTTGGACTATTCATTGAGTCTAAATTTACCCAGAAGCCATTGTTTGCCCACCGCAGATGACGGGATTTAAGATTTACATTGTTGGCGTATTAATACCATGAGCAAGGGATAAATAACATCAAGAAGTGGAGAATATAACAAACGTACAAATGATAGTTTAATCTTTGCTGAAGGCAACGATCACGGCATTAATGGTCTTTCTATTAAATACATCGCCGAAAATAACACGCAAGAACGAATGGTTTGTAACGTGTTGTCGTTCCTTTATTTGAAACTCTCTCCTTCTTCCATATTTAAAATTTATCTATCTATCTATCTATCTATCTATCTATCTATCTATCTCTGGCTCTTCATATTTACGTCTGTTCATTATCAATCTATTTATGTTTGTTCATTATGTATCTATCTATCTATCTATCTATCTATCTATCTATGTCTATTCATTATTTATGTATCTATGTCTGTTCATTATAAATCTATGTTCATTATCTATCTATCTATCTATCTATCTATCTATCTATCTATCTATCTATCTATGTCTGTTCATTATCTATCTATCTATCTATCTATCTATCTATCTATCTATGTCTGTTCATTATCTATCTATCTATCTATCTATCTATCTATCTATCTATGTCTGTTCATTATCTATCTATCTATCTATCTATCTATCTATCTATCTATCTATTCATTATTTATGTATCTATGTCTGTTTATTATCTATCTATGTTCATTATCTATCTCAGTCTGTTTATATATACCTCTTTTTATTCTCCCTACTCTCATAAAGATAGTATGGAAATTAATCCTGATAGAATTTAAAAATACTTATTTCATACGGAACACACACACACACACACACACAGACAGACAAAAAAAAATTACTTCGGTGTGAAATGAAACTGAACAATTTGTTTCTCTCGCACTTTTCGCTTGTGGAACTCACTCCCGACTTCCTGTTTTCCTCTCAACTACGATCTACGATCTACAATCTACGATCTACAATCTACGATCTAATTACAATGTCAGTTGTGATCTTCTCTCTGCTTGAAAATCTGTTCTTTTATTGTCCTCTACGTTTCTTTCATTCTCAGTAACACCTTTTGCATTTCAGTGGCTTTCATGGCCTTCATTCATAAAATGAGAAGGCAAGAAGTGTTGCTCAAAATATTATCTTGAGCACCTCATGCAAATTAAAAATTGCAGATACCAAAATCAAACCAGTACAACAATTTAAATATCTGGAAAGTGTTTTAACAGAAGACGGAAAGTGAGAATCTGGATGGCCAAAGATGCCTCCCAAAAGTTAAGCAAAATATTAAGAGATAGGAAAACAAAGAAAAGAGTACTAAATTGTTACCTAATATCAGTCGATGAAATTTTATGGAAACAAAAAGGAAACATATACTTGACATCAGAAAGAGTCAGTTGAAATTTTTGGGGCGCATAATGAGGAAGGAGGGCTCAGAAAATCTGATACTCACAGGACAGATTGAGAGAAAGAGAGACAGTGGAAAACAATGCATACTTTGTGTGCTTGACTAAATGGATGGCAGAATAGGGTTTAGGAGAAATAAGAAAAGGAAAATATTTAAAAGCTACAAAGGACAGGAAATTGTGGAGAGCCATGATCGTCTACGCCCTGAGGGGACACGGCACATGAAGAAGGTGCGATTTTTCCGACAAGAAGGTCTACTACTTTGATTATTAAGAGCTACAAAGGACAGGAAGTTGTAGAGGGCCATGATCGCCTACACCCTGAAGGTACACAAAAAATAGAAGAAGAAGAAGCTTGAGTAAATGGATGGTCGAACAGGGTTTAGGAGAAATAACTGGAAAACAACATTTATTAAGAGTTACAAAGGATAGGAAGTTGTAGAGGGCCATGATCACCTACACCCTGAAGGTACACAACACATAGAAGAAGAATGAATTTGATTAAATGGATGGCAGAACAGGGTTTAAGAGAAATAACAGAAAGACAAAAATTATTAAGAAGGAGAGGAAGCTGGGGAGAGCCATCATCGCCTACATCCAGAAGCGACAAGGCGCATAGAAGAAGAATTAAGTTGTGTAGAAAAAAAGTGTCTGTGAAAGTAGGATTTACACTGTTGGTAAAATTAAAAATGTCGTTGGTAAAGAGATAGAACAGAAGTTCATACTTTGTAGTTAATGACCTGACCTGTCAAGAGTTGAGAGGTCATTCGTCGTATTTGCGAATAATCTTGATAATGACGACGACCGAATGAAGAATTTTGGTAGCAGAGTTTTCAGATGAAGCTTTCGTCTGAGATGGTCAAGGGTAGTTTAGACGAACATATTGTCAGTTTTTAGTTTGGGTTATGTTACCTAGAATTTCTTGTTGGCTGTGCTTCGGTATTTAAAGTTCTTCGTCAGGAGTTTAGCTTGTGTAACATTGTGGGTGTAGAATAAAAGAAAATAATTTAAGGTTAAGGATTAGGAAGTACCGTAATTCCCCATGTATAATATACCGTCATTCCTAATACGCACACCTAAAATTGTGTTGAAAATGTGGGAAAATGCTTCTATTCATGCATAATACGCACCCCTTGTTTGGTAGTCAAACCCTGTAAATTATACCTCTTCAATTTCATCACGGCCAGCGTCTGATACTTATATTTTAAAATGGTTTTAAATATAGAATAATATTATTCTAATTTAGTTTTATGATAATCCTTATTTTATTTTACGGCAATATTTTAAAGATTTTTTATAGTTGTGCATAATGCGCACCCTTGAGTTTGGTGTAATTTTTAGAAAAAAAATGCGTATTATTTAATTCAAACTAATAAACGGTCACAGATGCTACCGGATAAATATTGTGTTTCTGAAATATTTGATAGGGTCAGTTTTCTTGAAAGATAAAAGAAAAAGAAGCAGGATTTGGTTGGGTCTTTTCATTAGTCCATGAATTGACTAATCAGCAATTAACTAGAAGTCGAGATTAATAGTAAAAAGATGAAGATTTCCTCCCTCTAAGAACCAGTGAAAAAGAAAATTCGGCTTGGTAGCGAGTAGATAGCCTAAAATTGCTAGAATATGGAATTTTTCTCACTCACTGTACCCTCTGCGTCGCTGATGAGTAATCAGAAACAGTTCCCTGCTAGAGACAATACAATTTGACCAATACAGACTACCACGCCTCGTGCCATTTATTATGACAAGAAAACCCTTCACTTGGTGAAAAGATGGCTTTTGATTTTCAGTGAGAAATTAAAACAGTGTGACTTTGGTGAAACCCTGAAAACAGGTGATGCCTTCCACTCTAAAGAACCGACCGTAGTTCGCCGAACACCAATTCGAGCCACAAACAATGTAACACGCTGGTAACGTGTCGTTTTTGGGCTCTAGCGACCTTTTCTCCCCCTCAGCAGATGTTAATTGATATCTTTGTCTTTATGTCAACGTGGCTATCCATTCTAATGACACATGATTGAATAGTAATTTTCACCGACTGGCTACTTTGTTTATATTTAGGTTTCCATGATCACTAAGTTATCTTTTCAAATTATTGTTTGGAATTACGTTTTTCCGATTGGTTAAAATAATCTAAAGAAAGTGTTCTTAACCCTGAGCCAAACATATCACTCAACGTTCCTAAGATATATATAAATATGTATATATCCTTTTATCCTAAGACAGGATTATCTATCTATCTATCTATCTATCTATCTATCTATCTATCTATCTATCTATCTATCTATCTATCTATCTATCTATTTGGAGGGAGGACGATCCCAGCGTGCAGCACTTTTCGAAAGTGCCTGAGAACCATACCACGGATTGACCCAAGACTTGTGAGTGAAATTGGGTAGACGGAACCCTTGGAGGCCGTCGATAGCTGTGCTAGCACGAAGTTACAAGTCATCGTGACCGAGTGTCTGAGTGTGCTGGTGTTTTTCAGATTGTTGATCATTCTAGATAACATGCTCTCTCCCAGAAACTGTAACTAAGGTCACAGTCACACCGCGATTGGTGTTCCTCTTGTGGTTTCTGTAGAAAATAGGTTCTGACAGAGTAGAATTTGCTAACCTTCTGCCGAATCTGTTTTGAATTCAGAATTGTCTTTCTCCTAAACTAGTCGACAACAAAGGTTAGAGCGACAATCTGCTTTGCTATTTAACCCTTAGCAGGGGGAGAAAAGATGGATTCGTGCCTTTCCAAGGTTATTTGTGCGAAAGTAAACTCGGCTGAAATTTGTACTCGACACACCATTTTCAGTTTCCATGCCAACAAACACCACGCGCACATCGACATTTAACATGGTAATGGTAATTTGCCGTTTCCCTATAAGGAAATATTTGGCATTCATTGATCAAGCAGCCAGTACTCTTTTCTGTTAAAATTTATAAAATCTTCCTCTTAACCCTCTTCACTGTTTTTTTTTTTTTTTTTTATAAAAACAAATTTCTCAAGTTCAGTAGCTTTTATCGCTCTTTCTAGTATTGATGGGAATTTCCTTCTTAACCTTTTATTTGAAGTAATGTGGAATGTCAACATCTTGATTATGTCATTATTTTCTCTTCTCATGCTCAGTAGCTGTTATCGCTCTTTCCACTATTGGGGCGGGGTTCTTCCTAACCTTTTATTTGAAGTAGTGTGGAATGTTAACATCTTCATTATGTTCTTAGTTTCTCTTTGAGTTATATGTGCAATCCATTTTTGTTGTTGCTGCTGTTGGTAATCCACAAATGATGTGGTTACTGTTATTTGCTACAGTTCTTTGTGATTCTGTAGCGCCAGTCCACAATGTTCAAAGAAGGATGAGCTTTTCCAAGAACCACAGGCTTCACTGGCTCAAAGCCATTTTAAATTATTGATCTTAGAAAGCGGTTGTATACATCAGTCAATATTTCTGAGATGAGGCATTATAATTATTTACATTATTTACTTTGTTCGGACTGTTGTCCTCATCTTTATTGTCATATTCACGACGTTTCGGCCGTTGTACGCTCCTGTCTTCTTGAATCTGTCTATATTTCTGAGATGATGTATTGTAATTATTTATATTATTTATTTTGTTTGGACTGTTGTCTCATCTTTATTGTCATATTTACGACGTTTCGGTCGGTGTACGCTCCGGGCTTCTTCAGGATCTGTATATACTTCTGAGATGAAGTATTGTAATTATTTACATTATTTATTTTGTTTGGACTGTTATCCTCATCTTTATTGTCATATTCACGACGTTTCGGCCGTTGTACGCTCCGGGCTTCTTCAGGATCTGTCTATATTTCTGAGATGGAGTATTATAATTATTTACATTATTTATTTTGTTTGGACTGTTGTCCTCATCTTTGTTGTCATATTCACGACGTTTCGGCCCGTTGGATCTGTCCGAATGAGAATTATAATTATTCGAACTTTGAACCCTTTATTTCTTCCACCGATTTCAGAGAACCCTTTATTTCTTCCACCGGGATAGATTGTTCTAGTTCCACGTTCCATGTCTCTTCTGGATGTCTCAGTTATCTCCCTTTAACTCAGCTCTCCAAAGTTTTTGTTCACCACTGCTGTGGCCAGGTATTGAACTCACAACACTTTGGGACAAATCATTGGATCCAACAAATGCTTTTATGCACTGGGCCATGTGTGCTTGAGTCCGGTTGTACACAGATAACAGTTCAGATATTTCTAAATAGGTTTGGCGCCAATCCATGACATCTATATGAAAGTCTCGATCTGACGCGGCTATTTGAGAAAATCATTCGAGTTTTCAGTGGCAATTTGGTGTTGGGCGAAATTACATCTGGCACAACCTATTTTATTTACAAGTCTATCAGTCGTCCAAGCTTTGAATATTGCTGCCATATCTGGTCTGGCACTCCTGCTGTATATTTAGAGATTCTTGATAAAATCCAAAGAAAAATCAGCAATATTATTGGTCCCGATCTGGCGTCTCGGCTACAATCACTTTCCCATCATCGTAATGTAGCCTCCCTGTGTCTTTTCTATAAATACTTTCATGGCAATTGTTCGCTATGTTACTTAGCCTTTATGAATTTAAGCGCAGTACTAGATTGCCGGCGAGATCTCATCAATTTAAAGTTCAATTGGTTAGATGTTACCGTAAGTTCTATGCTAACAGTTTCTTTTCTCGCACTTCAATTCTGTGAAACTCTCTACTGGATCCATGCTTTTCAACCTACTTTGATCATAAAAAATATAAATGCAATGTCAATCGTTATCTTGTAGAATTAGATTTCTACATTCTCTGTTTTAAACCTGTTAAAAAAGGATCACAACTAAGTATTCTCAGTTTGTGTTGAACCCATTAAAATCGGCTCCAGAGTTCAGAGTTTCTGATTGGTCCATTAATAATAATGTCATGTTTCTGCCTACGTCCATACGGTTGACCACGAGTTGAACCTCGAGTTGACCTGTTCAGAGTTCAACGCGTCAAAAATTGAAAAGCATTCTCTCGAGCCTCCCACGTGACCAAGAAAACTCATAAATATGAAACTTCGACGCAATTTAGTCAACGTGTCCTAAAAATAATCAACTCGTCACACGAATCCATGAAACCCAACTTCCTCGCTAAAAGTTAATTTTTATTATCATAAACTCGGTTTGTGGAATTCAATTTCTTTTCAACATCAACTCATCTAGTGACGAATTCAACTAAAACGAGATTCAGAAACCAACTCATTCAATATCTTAACAACATAAAGGAAATCGTAACTATATCAGTCAAAGGGAGACAACTCTATAGTAAGTCAAGCAATCTATTTCATTCAATTTCACCATCAGCATAAACTGTTTAATTCCTTACCAGATCTACAGCATAACATCTTTTATATTACCCTTGATCACACAACCAAGAACTCTAAAGTGTTTTAAACAATTTTATTATATCGTGTGTACTTGTTGCTATATAAAAATATTTTCTGTTAAAATAAATATCTGCCTATTTAATTATTTCTCTTGTTGTTTGTCTATATTTCTGAGATGAGGTATTATGTACACTATTTACATTATTCGGACTAATGTCCTCATCTTTGTCAAGGACACATGGCACAGTGGATAAAGGCATTGGTTAGATCCAGTGACAGGACTCAAAAAGTGTGAGTTCAATACCCGGTTAAGGCAGTGGAGAACTTGGAGAGGGGAATTAAGCAGGAGATAACTGATAACTGACATCCATTAAAAACGTGGCACGTGGAACTAGAACAGTCTACCCCAGTGAGCGAAATAAAGGGTTCAATTCGACATTCCAACCATCTGAAGAAGGCCGGAGCGTACAATGGCCGAAACGTTGTAATAAATATGGCGACAAAGATGAGGACAATAATGTAAATAGTATTCTCTTGTTGTTGTTGTTGTCTTTGTTGCATTTGATTTAGTAAAAATAGTAGAGAGTCAATTTAATTTGTATTTTTTCACCGATAAAGATTGGCTAACAGGTTACAATCAACTGTCTTCTTGATTACTCTTCTATGGTTCTCGCTTCTTCTCTTTTTTCTTATTCTTTCACGCTCAGTAACCCCTTGTGTCTTAGTGGCTTTACTGACTTGCATGGGGTGAAATGATTAGAAAACAAATTTAAATGCAATGTCAATCGTTATCTACTGTCTTCTTGATTACTCTTCTAATGTTCTCGCTCCTTAATGATGTTTGTCTTTTTTCTTATTCTTTCTTGCTCAGTAACCCCTTGTGTCTTAGTGGCTACACTGCCTTGAATGGGGTGATATGGTTAAAATAATATTTTTCTCCTATACTTAATTTCTTATAGCTGATCCAGACGTCGATGTATCTGAAGTGTTTAGTAGTTACTAATTAAACATCGTATATATGCTTTATGAAAATGAGAAATATGTTGCCTCCATGAAGCGTAGTGTTTTTTGGTCATTGGATTAGATAAAGCGGGTACATTTTGGTGATATGGGTGTTGCATACATATTATTTGTACTTTCTTTCTCTCAGCTCTATAATCGTAACAGTTGTTCAGAACAAGCTTTGTAATTTTCTCCGGATTAAAAGTACTGCCATCAGAAGATCGATGGTCTATCATTTTTAACGTTGTGACTAAGGAGATAGAAAAAAAAAATGTGTCTAATTTTGTGTCAAAAAAAGTATATTTCATCATAGGAATAATTGTAACTATGGTAATATCACTATGATTACAACAATGTTAATAACGCAACTCGAAGCCATGGTAATATGACGTAAATAAAATAAATTGTAATTTTTATAATAGATAATGCATGTGTATTCGAGTGCTTGACTTCAAAATATTTCATCGTTATTATTACTAGGTTATTCAGAAAATAATGTCCAATTTTAGAATAAAACTTTTTTTTTAATTGTGTTCTTAAATATTATTATAATAGTTGCAAAAAAATATATTTTTCATTCATAATGATTAAACTTCCTCTTTGTTAATTTTATATCAATCTCCTTCAGAATTTTGTTCTCAAAAACATGACGCACCCATTGTTTGCACTGAAAAATAATATTAGATTGTTCTATTGGTTGCTTGCTTGATTTTGCTTAACGGCATATCAACACCTCTATGAGTTATTTAATACTTAATAAAAATTTATTAATAATTTTTTGAACAAATTTTATAACTTCAACTACAATTAAAAATGCATTGTTGGTTATTTTGTTATAAAATGCATTGTTGGTCATTTTGTTATAAAATGCATTGTTGGTCATTTTGCTATAAAATGCATTGTTGGTTATTATGCTATAAAATGCATTGTTGGTCATTTTGCTATTAAATGTATTGTTAGTAATTTTTATATAAAATATATTGCTGGTATTTA